TAGACATGAAGCAAGGTGCATTCCCAATGTGTCAAAATTGGCTGATTATGAACTGCTAAACCTTCCAGTACATCAGTGGCACAATGGGATTGTGTCTTGGTCAGCAAAGAGTGGTACTCTTCAAGCTATGTGGTCTCCAGTGACAGACCAGCAACCTGGTCCAGTAGAAGTGAGCCATAGAAACAGAAATAATCATATGCTTGCCTGCTTCATAGTCTCAGTAGGAAGCAGCCATGATTGGTAGGAATGGGAACAACTGTCAGGTCTTGCCGTTATGAGTTTAGATGGGTTGATTGCCTCCCCATCTCTTTTCCCCAACACACACCACCACTGCAAACCACCACCCCCACCACAACCGCCCCCCCACCAATGTATTTCACTAACGCAGAAACCAACTGGCAAATGTGACATCAAGCCATTAATTCTGGTGCATTTCAATAATTCTTCCTTTCAGTATTCAGAGGTACTGAACTTGCACACTGTTGTATTGCTCAAGTTGCAAATAATTTTTCCATTTGAAAAGGTGTTTTGTTTAAATAGAAAGAGATGAAGAAAGGCACAGATATTAGGGCACCATAAAAGAAAGAGTGCTAGGTAAATGGAGAAGGGATGATTGGTTGGCACTAACATGAAACATGTTTTGATGCCTTGCAAAGGGAAGCTTTGAAGTCTGAGTCAGGTGTCTTAAATGCACAGTGAAACACTGAAGTACACAATGACTGAATAACTAGATCATTTCCATGAAGGGATGGTATTCTACTGATTAGTGCACAGTGTTCATCAACTTTGGATCTTGCAGAAGTTAATGAAAAATCAATTGTAAATTATTTAAAATAATACCATTTAAAATAATAGAGCATGGGTGTCGTGTTGAAACCTGAATTGTTTTCCAAACAAAAATGTTACTGATAATTCAACTTTAATGATGATCGTACGTCCCCTCCACTCCCTCTTCGTTTTAAACACCTGTAAAGGAACTAAGTGGCATACCCAATGAGTGTATGGTCAAGGCTCACAAACAAAACCAATTAAATCCCCGTTTATCCCCAAGGCTTGATTTCGTTCTCATGTATACAAGAAAAATCCAACATGAATAATGACGACAGGAAAAGTTGCATTTATAGTGCACCTTTTAAAGTAGTAAAATGTCCCATGGTACTTCACAAGTCTTTGACAAACAAAATTGGTGTATTAAATGCATTGACTTCTGCTTCTCTGGATTAAGCCATCCGTTTGCAAGTTTAACAATTCAGATTTGCCAGCTGCTTGCATGATTGATCTAATGGTCATGATATCTCTTCCACCTTGTAAATACATTTTAATGTGATTCAAACTCCTATAGAGAAGTTGAACAAAAATAGTGATGCAGCCAGGAGCTGGAAATAATTGGCTTTCGAGTTGCAGACTGTAACATAAAATCGTTGTATCTTTAGTTCAACTTGTTACATAGACAGCTTACTACTCCAAGTTTATGTGTGAAATCCAAAATATGACATCTGACCAACAAAAACTATAATTTAGAGTGTAGGTATGGCACATGATCAAGAGGGCTGATGGGGTGCTATTGGTCATTTTGAGTGGGATAAAACAATACTTTTATGTTTCAGCCAATAATGCATTGGTGAGACAAGATCTTAAAAAGTGTATGAAGTTTCGGTCTCTTTATTTAACAAAGGATGGAAGTGCATCGAAGGTTTATTAGATTGATGCCCAGAGTTGTCTCAGGAGGATGGATCGGACAGATGGCCTTGCTTCCATTGGAGTTTAGAAGAGTGAGAAATGACTTGATTGTAGTTAATAAGGTCCTGAATGGGAGTCAGTCCAGAACTAGGGGAGACTTATAAAATTATGAAATGCTATTATAAAAAATCCTTTCGGGACAGAGATGAGAAATGTTTTTGTGAGGATTGAGAAACCTTGAAACTGTGCTTCAGAAGGCAGTAGAGACAGGGTCATTGAATATTTACATGTCAGAGGTATATAGATTCTTCAGGGGAATCGAGGGTTATCTGGTGTGAATGACAATGTAGAATGTGAAGCACAATATCAGCCATCATCTCAATGAAAACAGCAGGGCTGAGGGGCCAAATGGTCGACTTCTTTGTATGTGTGGACGACCCATTGTATTTGCACCACCCATATAGAATCAGAGTCATACAGCACAAAATCAGACGTTTCCGTCCAAACGGTCCTTGTCAACCATAATCCCAAATTAAATGAGTCTGACCTGCCTGTGCTTGGCCTTCAAATATTTCTTATCCATGCATTTATCCAAATATCTTTTAATTGTTGTAACTGTACTCACATCCACCATTTCTTCTGGAAGTTCATTGCACACAAACTACTCTCTGTAAAAAAAAAAGCCCATTTTTAAAAAAATCTTGCTCCTCTCACCTTAAAAATATGCCCCCTAGTTTTAAAATCCCACACCCTAGGGAAGACACCTACCATTCACTTTATCTACCCTGCATGATTTTATAAACCTTTATGAGGTCACCCCTCAACCTCCCACGCTCTAGTGAAACAAATCCCAGCCTACCTAGCCTGTCTTTATAACTCAAACCATCCATTCCCATCAACATCCTTGTAAATTCTTTCGGAACCCCCTCCAACTTAATAATATCCTTGCTACAGAAAGGTGACCAGACCTGGACACAGCACTCCAGAAGATGCCTCACAAACATCCTGTACAACCACAACATGAAGTCCTAACTCCTATGCTCAGTGGTCTGAGCAATGAAGGCAAGGGTGCTAAATGCCTTCTTTAAGCAAATTTCACATAATTATGTACCTAAACCCTAGGTCTATCTGTTGACAACATTATTCAAGGCCCTACTTTTAATTGTATAAATCCTGCCCTTCTTTGTTTTACCAAAATACAGCATATTTTCATACTTTCCTTGACTTGTCACCTGAAGCCTTGAAAATTGACTGGCTTGGCATTTTGTTTATTATAAAGATTGTTGTGACTGAGCTATCATTCTTAAAATATCCTGTTTCATTTGCGGAATTGCAATTGAATCCCGATGTAACCTTGCTGTGTCCCACTGCACTGTTTCTTTTTCAGGGTGGAGCTGGAGGATCACAGCAGGCCAGGCAGCATCGGAGGAGCAGGAAATTTGACGTTTCGGGTCGGGATCCTTCTTCAGAGCACTTTCCTGCTGCTCTGATGCTGCCTGGCCTGCTGTGTTCTCCAGCTCCACACTGTGTTATCTCCGACTCCAGCATCTGCAATTCTTACTATCTCTGACCGTCTTCTTTCAAGCTTTTTTTTTGGTATGTTTTCCCCTTTGTAAGTACTTTCCACACTGAAGAAAGCCCGAATAATGCTGTAAAAAACAATCGTTTTGAATAGAACGAAAGCTCAGTCCCCTGGAAATAAATGAAAATTCCATTCTTTTACTCTGACAGGGTCTTTGAGCTTGCACAAGCCTGGACACTGGGCAGTTTAGCATGGCCGATCCACGTAACCATATGCCAGTCGTTCTTCGCAAAACCATTTGATCGAAATATTTCTGTCCATAAAATATTTCGTGCACTTTATTGTCGCAACTGATGTGTGTGGTAGATGATTAAACGTAATTCGTTGCATCATTGTACAATAATCTAACCGTACTGCAATTCCGCGCTGTCTGCTGGGTTCTCTCTCTTTCTCTGTCTTTTTAACCCTACCTGCCCAACTTCTGCTTTAGTCAATTTGGCTTTTTCGAGTTTGAAATTCCTGTCTTCCATTGTCGCTGTCCTTTCTCTGCCCCCCTTTTGTTTTTGCACTTTTTTTAACAAAGAAAAGCCACCTTTCAAGTACACACAGCAGTTTCTCCTTCACCCTCACACTGTTGCGGTGGATTCCCCCATCATGCCTGACAGTAACTCAATATTTCACTCTATGTCCGCGCTGGTAATAATGCTCCGCTTCTTTCTCCCCGGCAATCTCCCACTGCCTCTTCAGTGATTCTTCCCTCCGCTGTTGAGGGTCTGTCGCTCTACCAGGATCTTATGAGGCTCGTTCACCCATGCTGCTTATTCACGCCTTGACTGAAACAGCGCGGATGTGTCATTTCACGGCAGGGCATTGTTTCCAGACGAAGAAGTTCATAAACCCCAAGTTGTATCTTGGTTTCCACATCAGAGCGACATGTATCCAAGCGGTGACCGAATATTACTACTGAAGGAAAGCGCACTGGTTCCTCTCCTGTCTCAATGAACACTTGGCAACATTCTTCCTCTCCACACACTACTCTCCATTGTTTACACACAAGCATAAAGAGACACCGTCCTGCAAGTGCCAGTAATGGTCATCGCTATATATGTTTCATTATCATGTCACTTTAATTGATTGATGAGTTCCAGAACAGACCCTCCCACAGCCATCACTAACATCGTTATGGCCAATGTCACACTTAGAGAGTCATAGAGATGTACAGCATGGAAACAGACCCTTCGGTCCAACTCGTCCGTGCTGACCAAATATCCTAAATAAATCTAGTCCCATTTGCCAGCATTTGGCCCATGTCTCCCTTAACCTTCCTATTCATATACCCATCCAGATACATTTTAAATGTTCTAATTGTACCAGCATCTACCACTTCTTCTGGCAGCTAATTCCATACACGCACCACCCTCTGCGTGAAAAAGTTGCCCCTCAGGCCCCTTTTAAATCTCCCCCCTCCCCTTAAACCTTTGTCCTCTAGTTTTGGACTCCCCTAGCCTGGGGAAAAGATCTTCGCTATTCACCCTATCCATGACCCTCGTTAATTTTATAAATCGCTACAAGGTTCAGCCCTCAGCCTCCGACACTTCGGGGGGTGCAAAACAAGTCCCAGTCTTTTCAGCCTCTCTCTATCGCTCAAAACCTCCAATGCTACCAATATCCAGCACTCAGAAAGGCCGCTTTAGAATAGCAAAACGCACAGCGAAACACACAGGGAGAAAAGCAGCTGAAGGTTAGGGAGTGTCAGGACACGGATCAGACAAGACGGTGCAATGGAGTCGGTTCTTACCTAAGGGCAGGACCACGAAGAATGGGAGCCAGCAGAGGATGAAGCCTCCGACCACTATCCCCAGGGTCTTGGCCGCTTTCTTCTGCCGCCTGAACTTGAGGAGGAGCACGGAGAACTGAGTCTTCAGCTGGGTCCCCCGGCCCTGGGGGTGGCTCTGGGTCTGGTCCAGTGGGTCAGCCCTCTTCTCCGGCCGGTGGATGCGCAGCGTTACCGGGTCCCCAGTCCCCTTGGATCTCTCCCTCTTCCTGCCCTCTTCCAGGCTCCTGGTTTCGCGCCTCGCCACGATGTAGACCCGGCAGTACATGACCAGGATGACGGCCAGGGGCGCGTAGAAGGATCCCAGGGCCGAGAACAGGACGTAGCCGGGCTCCTCGGTCACTCGGCAGACCGTGTGGTCGGGGGGCGCGGGCTCCTTCCAGCCCAGGAGGGGACCCACCGAGATGGCCAGAGCCAGGGTCCAGACGCCCAGGAGGGTGAGCAGAGCCTTCCTCTGGGTCACGATGGCCGGGTGCCGCAGTGGGTAACTGACCCCGATGTAGCGCTCGATGGAGATGACACAGAGGCTGAGGATGGAGGCGGTGGAGCAGAGGACGTCCAGGGCTGCCCAGATATCACACAGGAGCCGGCCGAGTGGCCAGTGGCCCTGCACCTCGAGCCAGGCGGACAGCGGCAACACGCTGCAGCTCAGCAAGAGGTCGGCCACCGCCAGGTTAACGGTGAAGTAATTGGTGACCGTCTGCAGGGGCCGGTGGCAGACCACCGACAGGACCACCAGAACGTTCCCCAGCAGGGCGAACAGGATGAACGAGCCCAGCGTTAGCCCCAGGGCAATGGTCCGGCTCGGGCTGGGACTGGGGCGGGCTGAGCCGTTCACCGCCAGCACCGAGCCGGTCCGGTTTTCAGGGAGGATCCCCATGTCTGAGCGCAATCTCTCCTCCTCTCCTCCTCCCCTCTTCTCCTCCCCCCTCCCCCTCCCCCCTCCCCTCTCCTCCTCCCCTCTCCTCCTCCTCTTCCCTCCCCTCTCCTCCTCCCCCTCCCCTCTCCTCCTCTTCCCTCCCCTCTCCTCCTCCCCCCCTCTCCTC